CAAGCTGCTAGAGTTAGGTCCAGAGAGGACAGAGATGAAACCTCTCTCTGATCTCACAGAGAGTCAATTCTCTGTGTTCTATGATGTATAGTGATGTAGGTTCTCCTCGTTAAATAGATTCCCTCTCCCTTTCTCCTCACGCACGACTCGCAGCATGCTAGAGTTAGGTCCATATGAGGAACAGAGCAGACCTCGTCTGACTCACAGAGAGTGCCAAACGGCTCTCTGTTGTTCACTATGATGTAAAGTGATGCTAGGTCCGCCTCGTAACATGCAGTATTCCCTCTCCCTCCGCTCACTCACGCTGCTAGAGTTAGGGTCCATAGAGGATACAGAGAGACCTACTATCTGAACTCACCTATGACTACCAATCTCCTGTTGTGCTATGACTGTATAGCGTGACTGTAAGGTCCTCTCTATTAAATCAGATTCCCTCTCGTTTCTCTCTACTCGCACAGCTGCTACGATGTGAGGGTCCATAGAGGAACAGTAGAGACTCTATCTGACTCGCAGAGAGTCAAATGCTCTGTTGTTCTATGCTGTATCAGTGGATGTAACGTGTCTCCTCGTGATAGAGATTCCTCTCACCTCCGCCGCACTCACAGCTGCTAGAGTTAGGTCCTAGAGGACGAGATACGACCTCTCTCTGACTCACAGCAGAGTCAGAGTCTCAGGTGTGAACGATAGGGTAATAGTGATAGTAAGGTCATACACTTCTCTGCAAGATCGTGGAAATAAGATTCCCTCTCCCTCCTCACGCCAGACGGCAAGCGTGGTCCATAGAGGACACCGAGAAGACCTCTAATCTCGACTCGCACAGAGTCATTCACTTCTCTGTTGTTCTATGATGTAATAGTGATCGTAAGGTCTCCGCTTAATAAGAATTCCCTCGCTCCTCTCACTCACAGCTGCTAGTTGGGTTCCCATAGCGCGATACAGAGAAACCTCTAACTGACTCACCGAGAGTCAAAATTCCTTTTGTTCAATGATGTAATAGTATGTAAGGTCCCCTCGTAAATTCAGCATTCCCCTCTCTCCTCACACTCACAGCTGCTAGAGTTAGTCCATAGAGAACATAGAAACCTCTACTGACTCAATAGAGTCAAATACTCTTTGTTCAATGATTTGATAGTGAGTAAGGGCTCCTCGTTAAAATAGATTCCCTCTCTCCTCTCCCTCACACTGCTGCGTTAGGGTCCATAGAGAGAAACAGAGAATACCTCGAGCTGACTCACGAGAGTCAATTCTCTGTTGTTTCTATGATGATGTGCTGTAAAGGATCTCCTTCTTTAAGAAAATTCCCTCTCTCCTCGCACTCAACCGCGGCTAGAGTTAGGGTCCATAAGGAACAGAGAAACCTCTAGCGGACTACAAGAGTCCAATCTCGTTGTTCTATGATTTAGAGTGCTTACAGGTCTCCTCGTTAAATAAGATTCCACCCTCCTCCTCCTCACGTCGCAGCTGCTAGAGTTGGGGTCATAGTAGAGGAACAGAGAAGACCTCAATCTGACTCCCGAGAGTCATAATTCTCTAAGGAAATAAACAGGTCGGTGCTTATTGTCTTGTGTACATCTTAGTTTACATGATTTACAGAAACTTTACATGAAAGTTACACTCTATACGACCGCCACTTAACACGACCACGAGTGCGGGCCAATCGTCGTATTACCATCAATAGTGTTGAGCTGGTGATGGAATGTACTGTAATTGCAAGAGTATGACTGTATTACCTGTTGGGCATGAGAAAGTGCCTGGGTGTAGTTGACTGTTGGCTTTGGGTCTTTACCTTGCGGCCTTGTTGACGTTGCATCATGGCGAGCGAGCCTGCCTATCGTGGTAGACTGCTCGTCTGGCACTGCACATCCAAAAACACACCGTAATGGTCTATGTGATTCTAAGATCTGTGCAACCATCGCTGTGAAATTGCTGCGCACTTGCTTGCCACAAATTTGTGCGACGTAGTGTAGTATTCAAGTGTGTGTTCGTGTAGGCAGGACTGAAGGAGAGGTGACTCACACAGGTCCAATCAGGAGGAGTCCAGGGTCTGATACGTCACCGGATGAGACCTGCGTCTGCACCAGACGTGAGAACACACCAACTCTCTCTCTCTCGCTCCTCTTCCAGTCCCCCAATGAAATTTTCAGTGAATTGTAGGAGTTGGTAGTACGGTTGGAATTGTCCAATTTACAAAGACACTTGTAGCTGCTGTGTGTGCATATTAGCCTATTTGTAGCGAATCGCGTGATTTGCGCCTCATGCCTCAGTTAATTCACGTATATAATTGATGACTGTAAAACAGAATATGGATGTGGTCACATCGATACTGAAGTTCAAAGTAAATCATCAATATATTGATACATCCTTGTGTCGCCAGGAGTTAATAACGATGTAAGCAGTGTACATAACAAGTGTGTCGACGTGTTGCACACACTGTATGACATGTTTACTGTTCGTGTGACTGGATTGACTTGATTGATCTGACTTTTAAGTGTTGGTTGACTGGTTGACTGGATTGATTTGATTTTACGGTTGTGTGGATACAGGTGTTCCGTGACGGTGGAGAGTGGGGACACCTACGACTGCAGCGCTTTCGTCCAGTATTGCAAGAGAAGGGATGAAGCACACTGGACATGCGGTTCCCGTACCTCCCGTGTCTCAGGTCGGACAGGAGAGGACACACACAACCTACCTACCTCTATGAGGCTCAGCCCCACCCCTTCCTTACGTACACTCACGTCTCTCCTTCCGTAATGTATGACGTACGTACTGTATTTATGTATCTCTCAAGTGTTGACCACAAATTTCCTTGTGTGCTATATACTTTCTCCGACGCGATATCAGAAAATGTTTTCTTAAATCTCTACATCTACTTAATGAGCTGAATTTTCTTTTGCCGTCTCTGTAAATTACAATGTTCAATGCTCAAACCTTGCGTATAGTGATACGTACTATTGTATACCAATATGACTATTACTTTTTCAACCAAGATTCACTCATGTGTACAATGGATGCATCCCAAAATATATGTCAAATACGAAGTATGTTGCCTGACGATCATTGAATAACCATATCCTATTCATTTGGGATGCACAGGTGTGCACCCTGGTGCCAGTCAGATGTGCCTCAAAGCCTCTCAGAACACCAGACGTCAGGATGAATCCGAGCCCCTTCTCGAACACGCTCCCGACAGAGAAAAAGAGATCAACAGACATTTGTTTAGCCTCTTCTCTCTTCAACATTTTTATCTTTTTCCCTCCCTCCCTCCCTCCCTCCCTCCCTCCCTCTCTTCCTCCTTTTCTTCCGCTTTCTGTCCGATCTTTTCCACACTTTCTTATATCCAATCACTGCTTTAGTTCTTTGAAATTTCTGATGACATCATTCCATGTTTATCAATGACATCATTCTAGATGACCATCATTTTAAGTGCCAATCATTCCCAGGTGGTTCGGCCGACTTCAATGAGGATCCGTTGTGAGAGAAACTTTGGTATCTAGCTCGATAGACCGACGATGGTGACGGTCACAGTCTTATTCTCCCTCCTCCTCATCCTCCAGTATGGAGGGAAGGTCCCGTAAAACTTCATTAACATACACTACTGTACATGCTGGATGAGAGTCTACTGTGCCATAAGCACAGTTGGTTTGAGGTTTGCCTTGTGTTGTGGTTGTGTTTGTATATTCGAACCCCTACCCCTGCTGATTGCCCCGGTATCTGCAGTGGTAGAGCGCGTCGCCTAGACTTGGCAGGTGTCGTGGTTTCGAATCCCCCCAGGCAACCGAAATAAAGAGCCTGTCCTGGGTGTAGTTGACTTGTTTGGCCTTGCCTTGCCTCTACCTCGCGAACCAAGTGTTGAGACATACTACAGTAATAGACTAGCAGCATATCAGCACTACAACAGTAGTTAGTACACCGTGTACATTTTACCTCATTTGGGTTTTGTCATACAACGTCTGTTTTCCCCTCCTCTGAAAATTTGTACCCTAACTTGATGCTCTGAGTTTTCTCGTTTTAGGCTCTCGAGATACAGGCCGCGCCTGCAGAGGTCATCAACTGTATGTACCTGCAACCTAACAACAAGTTTTATACATTGCTGCTTTACTCTAATGGCGCATGTTGTAGACAATTGGTCCAGCTTTGACCGGTAGCAGATCGTTTAGGAGCCAATTTAAATACAGTCTCCTGCCATATGTACAGACATTCAACTTTGCGCCTGTGTGAGTGTTTTTGTGTTGTTGTTGTTGTTGTTATTGCCGGTTGTGGGACATGAGAGGGCAGCAGGTTCCACAGAGGAGTGGAGATCACACTGCTTGGGCACGGCCGTGTTTGCCAGTACCGCCTCTGCCCCGAGGAGAAATTACAGAGCAGTTATCCCGACACTCTCTCTCCCTCTCCCTCTCTCTCTCTCGTCACCTCTCTCTTATGCCGATTGCCTACCTTCCTTCCTCTGCCAAGGCCATCCCTTATAACATTCCGTACCTCTCAAACATTTTCTCTCTCTCGTTTTTACATACACCTCTCGTGTCATCTGCTGCAGCATTGTAATCTTCCAGACTGCCCGTCGCATCAGCAGCTGATGCCGGTACATGATTACTAAAACATACTATTATTCTGTGTAGTGGGTGTCTGTTAAACCGAGAATTTTAACTAGACATGTGAGCGTATTTTTTTGCCTGTGGGCCCATCACGACCATTTCTCAAAATTCAGAGCGTGAAAAAAATGAAAGTGGCCCCTGACAAAATTATTTTTTAAAATTGATGATGGTGATGCAGGATGCCGGTAATGAAGGACCCATTCTTCACAAGCGCTACATCTCCGCTCGAAACACGTGGAGCCACTGTTCAGACAGCTGAAGACCGACCGTCCTGACCTCCCAGCTACTCATGATCATCCTGCCCCGGCAAGACTCCTGTCATATGGTGGGTTTTCATCTTTCTCCTCACCGCATAAAATATCTGTCCCTCTCTCCCTCCCCTCCTCACTCCCTCTCCTCCCTTCCTCCCCTCCCCTCCTCGCTCCAGCGGAGGTGAAGAGAGTGGGGGACACTCTGCTGGGAGTGGCCACTCAGTGTGTCCAGGTGAAGAATGTCCTCAAACCGTCCGCTCAGACCCTCTCAAACCTCTGTCTCAAGATTAACGTCAACTGGGCGGAGTCACAGCATCCTCTCGTTCCAGGGATCAGGTACTCGGTTCCAGCACCAGACCCCTGTAATTACAGGATTTGGAATTGTAGACACTCGTGTAAAGTCACACGGGTTTTTTTATACACATGGGGAGGGCGAACCACACCCATCTCATCCATTTCAACCCTGTCTCTGCCTTTTAAGGAACATGTAGTAAAACCACGACTTAACCCATAGCCACGCCCCCTTATTCCCTGTATGTCGTAGATTCTTTGCTTTTTGATAACTTGATTATTTGAAGTGTCGTTTCACTTCTCTCAAACCCTCCCTCCCTCGATCTCTTCCTCCCTCCCATCAGACCAGCGGTGTTCCAGTCTCCAGTGATATTCATGGGAGCCGACGTCACCCATCCTCCAGCAGGAGACGACAGGAAACCCTCCATCGCTGCCGTGAGCCCTGCAGCTATCATACACCTAATGATTATATAGAGCACATTTTGGCAAGACGAGCAGTTGCAATTTTGTGCACATTTACTACCTACATGATTCTGACAACTGGCTGTTTTAGCAAACTTTGAATTTGAGTTTTACCACAACCTTCTATTCTCATTTATTTTTCCCACAACAGAGAATTATAGTAGGAAAAGAGCTTTATAAACTGTCTTGTTGTGTTAGCTGTTTAAATTCCGTGCTCAGTGGACTGTTTGCGTTTACTCATCATAATTAATTTTGTTTCCCCTCCTCCTCCCCCAGCTGGTGGCGAGTATGGATGGCCACCCCAGTCGCTACTCTGCGACAGTGCGTGTCCAGAACCATCGCCAGGAGATCATCGCAGAGCTGGCCATGATGGTGAGAGAGATGCTCATAGACTTCTACAAGAGCACTCGGTTCAAGCCGCACAGAATCATCTTCTACAGAGACGGAGTCAGCGAAGGGCAGTTTCAGCAGGTCAGTATTAAACTGTGCACTACATACCCTTATGGTGGGTAATTTGCATGTGTTGCAGTATGCACATGATGTGTATGCTTTTGTATGGCCTACAATTTTGGGGTGGGGGGTTGGATTACACAACACTGTGATAGTTTACTCCTACGTAGGTGTATAGGTACAGCGAGATTGTGTTTCTATTCAACCCTCCAACTATAGTCAAAGTATTAGGGATGGTTGGTTTGTCATTTCGTTTTCTCGCGTAGCTGCAAAAAATGCAAAACCTTTCAAACCCTTGTGCGGAAAGGGTGGTAATGGAGGAAAAGGAAGATACTACTTCCCCTCTCTCCCCCTCCCTCTCTCCCCTCCCTCTCTCCCCTCCCTCTCTCCCCTCCCGGAATGCAGGTCCTTCAGCACGAGCTGAGAAGTGTGAGAGAGGCGTGTATGAAGCTTGAGGACGACTATGAACCAGGAATCACGTTCATTGTGGTCCAGAAGAGACATCACACCAGGCTCTTCTGTGCAGACCACAAGGACATGGTCTGTACTTATCTATACTTACAGTGGAACCTCTGAACAAGGGACACTATGGGGCTAACAATAATTATGTCCCTTGTAGAGAGGTCGTCCCTATCTCAGAGGTCAAATAATACACTAAAGTATTAGCATGGGGTTGAAACAAGTGTCCCTTGTAGAGAGGTCGTCCCTATCTCGGAGGTCAAATAATACACTAAAGTATGAGCATGGGGTTGAAACAAGTGTCCTTTATAGAGAGGTCGTCCCTATCTCGGAGGTCAAATAATACACTAAAGTATTAGCATGTTGTTGAAACAAGTGTCCTTTATAGAGAGGTCATCCCTATCTCTGAGAGTCCCTTACCCGAGGTTCCACTCTACTAGAACTAGAGATCACCGAGGATTATTGCAAGCGAATGTGACAGCCACGTGCAGGATCCCCCCCGCTAGCATTGTGAAACTATAAACATGTAACATAAAGGTGTTTGTGGCGATGTTACACAAAAATAGGGAAATGGAGGAGTTTGTGTATGTGGAGTACGTCAAATTTCCCTTGTGGACTTTTTGGAGACACAAATTTCTTTCAAAAAATGCTGCAGGTTGGTCGCAGTGGCAATATTCCAGCTGGTACTACTGTTGATGTTGGCATCACTCATCCCAATGAGTTTGACTTTTACCTCTGCTCCCATGCCGGAGTCCAGGTCTGCCCCCTCTTTCTCCCTCCCTCTTTCTCAAAGCTCAATAATTAGTCTCATACTTGCTAGTTACTAAGATTCGAGGATTCCAGGCTTCCGCGACGCTCCATATTTCCATGTGCTGAACACACATGCGGGAAATTATAGTGCATAGCATACCAGCCACAGGGAGAGATGTGTAGATGAAAAGTAGGGAGTGTGTCCGTTAGAGTTCACTCTAGTAAGTCAGGCAGCTTATCTGTTAAACTGGGCTCTTACAATATAGTGTCCTACTAGTATGCTACAGTGTAGTGGCCCCTGGAGCTGAACCTCATGGACCACTGTCTCCCTCTCTCCTCCCTCTCTCTCCTCCCTCTCTCTTCTCCCTCCCTCTCTCCTCCCTCCCTCTCAGGGAACAAGTCGACCCTCTCACTATCACGTCCTGTGGGACGACAACGGTTTCTCTGCAGATGAGCTCCAGTGCCTCACCTACCAGCTGTGCCACACGTACGTACGCTGCACTCGCTCCGTCTCCTATCCTGCCCCTGCCTACTACGCTCATCTGGTGGCCTTTAGAGCTCGCTACCACCTCCAGGAGAGGGAGGACAAGAGGTATATATATCCCCCAGAGTGTGTGATTACCATTGTGTACCATTGTGTAATAAGGACATGGGGTGGTGGTACATTCTTTCCTCTCTTATTTGCTTCTTTTCGGTAGTGAGCAATGCACATGTATTGCTAATGCCTTTCAAAGAAATAGGCAATTAGTAGAATTTAGTCTCCTTTACAGATTTAGCTTACTAACCTAGGTCTGCAAGACTAAGTGCCTATAATATAATTATGTATTCCTATGTGAATGAAAGCTCCCTCCCACTATGATGGAAAACTGTCCGTCGCCTCACTAGTTTTCCCTCCCTCCTTCTCCTCCCTCTTTCTCTTCTCTCTCTCTCTTTATTCCTCTCCCTCTCTCCCCAGTGGAGATGGTTCATCGGCCAGCCAACAAAGTGAAGAGCCTCGCTCACCTCAGGCCATGGCACAGGCTGTTCGAGTCCACGATGATATCAACAAAGTCATGTACTTTGCCTAACGCCACCTCTCCGCTCACGGCCGCAGTTTATAACCCTAACCTGGAATTTGAATCACCTCTCAGTTTTTTCCTCTTAGCTCGAATTTTTTTCGCCAGCTCACGACCAATTTGACTGTACAGCTGCCTAACTCCTCATACCAGTGTTACCAATGTATATTATTGTTGCTATACAGAGATCAATTGTTTCAATCAGTTTAATAAGTTATTATTATATCGTGGGCCTGGTTCTTTGGTTGAATCTCGATCATATTATGTACTTATGTAGTGTATTGCTCTTTTTTACTCTTCACTTAACTGCGCTGTCCCTGCGCATGCGCGTACGTGAAACTTATTGCGCATGCACATATGTGAGTGAGAAAAGAAAAGTGATAGAGCAAAAAGGGGTGAACAAGACCTCGTTTTTTCTTTCATCCCTGATTCTCTCTTCACTGTCCAAATGGCTCAGCAACTACGACTCCAAGGTCGTTTCGGCT